AAGGTAACCTCCTCCACTTCCAGTGAAGTGATGGTCTCTCGCTGCTCCTTCTGAACTGTCCCTTTGAGATCTGGAGTTTCCTGCATTCCAGTTGACCTTAAATACTTGGCCAGGGACAAGTCAGGCTCCAGCTCTGAGGCTTGAACAGCACTGGGCTCTGGACCTGCAGAAATATCCTCCCACAATTCTTCTCCATCCAGGCTATTCTCAGAGGCTTCATCAGTGGGAGTCCTTTTCTTGCCCCAAGACTGCTTCCTTTGCTCCTTCTGTGCCACAGGATCATCCATTATTAAACCAAGTAAGAGTTGCCCAAAAGAGAAGCCCTTGGTTGTGTTTGGTTCCTGCTGGGTATCCCTGAGCATCTCCTCAGAGGAATCTGTGCTTTCTGTCTTACAGGTGGAGCTGCTCATTCCTGTCTCAAAGACCCTTTCTATCCCAGAACCTCCTTCCTCCTCAGCCTGATACAGAGCCAGGGGTTTCTTTTCACGTGCAGCTTTTTTCAAGTCAATGATGAAGCTGTCACTCTGGGAGTCTGTGGTCTCCAATTGTTCCCCACTCTCCTGTACATGTGTTTCCTGCACTCCTCTTTGGAAATCTGCTGTGGACTCCACCAGAAAACTATGAATTTGTCCCTCAGGTGAATCTTCCCCACAGACACTCACCTCTGACTCACAAATTTCTTCAGCAGAAGATCCCTCTTCCGCAGATACCATGATGCTGCCAAGGTCCCCATTAGGGATTTGCAAATCAGCTCTTCTGATTTCTCTTGTCTGTGTCTCTTCCTGGGCACCAACCTCCTCCTGCTGCATCCTGTAGCTCTGACACAGCTCCTCACTCAGAGACATCTCTTCCACAAGCACATCATGTTGGTGCACAGAGGAGATGAGTTCAGTCACTCCTACCTCCACACTCTCCAGAACTGTGGGGGTTTGTGCCTGTTCTGTGTCCACAATCTCTGCAGCTGGGAGAGGCTCCACACACTTTTTCAGATCAAATGTGATATTGGTCTCATCAGTCTCAGATGGCAACAGCTGCTCTTTGAAATGCACTTCTTCTAGGTGAACCTCAACTTCCTCAGTAAAATCCTGACCTGAATTTTCTATGCCAGGAGGAGTGAGGATTAAATCCACAGAAGAGTTGCCTGCATTAGACTCCATTTCTTGTGGCATTTGTCCATCATTGTGCATTTCCCAGTGTGCAGCATCCCCAGCATCAATCATTTCTTCTTTACTCACATGATCATCAACCTCGATATCCTGCTGTTCAATATCAACCGATCTCTCTTGCTCCTTGGACTGTTCCTCCTGCTGCTCCTCTGTACAGAAGTCATAAAACCCAAACTGCTCCTTTGTGGGTGTGCTTGCAATGTTGTCCTGCAGGTGGGGCACACTTGGCTCTTCTACAAGAGGCACATCAGGAGACATTGCCTCCCAAGCAGTGGCATCACTCTCCTCCATGTAAACATCACTCCCCTCTTGCACTACAGGTGATATTGGAATGAAAAATTGTGAATCCTCACATTCCCTTGCCAGAGCAGACTGCTCAGAGGCATGTGTTTCCCCTTTCACTTCCATCAATGGTGACTTCAAGATGTCCCAGGACAGCATATCTGTATGTAGTACCACCTTGTCTCCTTCAGCCTCCAGCTCCTCTGAAAAGTGACCTGAGTCCTTGGCCACCAGTTCATGCTCTTCTCTGGACACACTGGGGTGCAGCTCAGTGGCATCAATTCCAAAGTCGTGTTCCTCAGAAACAACTTTTCTCCCGTGATGCTTCGTCTCAGAAATATCACCTGTATCTCTCACACTTTCTTCCGTATAATCTGTTTCTCGCCTTGCATAAAATTCCATGATATCCTGTACCATTGTTCCCTCCATCTCACTTTCTCTGAAGTAAGGAGTTTTCTCACACTCCTCTTCCAGCTGCTCACCAGGAGATGGAGACAGTCTCAGGGACCAGGGTAGGTGGGCTTCCTCCTCCTTGGAGCATGTGATCTCCTCTTCATCCTTCCTAAGTGTGCTGAAGCCTTGGAGGTGTATAACATGGTCCATGGCAGGCAGTTCCTCAGTGCTTCCATCCTTGGTATATGACTTGGGTGCACTGGGCTGCACTGTCAGCTCAGAGGCAGTCTGTGCTGTTCCAGCCACATTCTTGGCCACACAACAATACAGCCCAGCATCCGCAACAGAGACCCCTTGGATGTATAAGCGGTACGTGCCATTCTTGCCTTCCTCAAAACTCAGCCTTTCACTACCACAGAGGCTCTGGCCATTCAGGGACCAGGACACAGCTGGTGGGGGCTGCCCAGACACAGCACACTCCAACACCACTGCCTCCCCTTCATGGCAATGGATGTGTGCTGGGGCTTCTGCCACAATTTGGGGTGGCTCATTTCCCACATCAAATGAAAACTTGAACTTATGCTTTATGGTGGGAGCAGCCTGGTCTGGAGAGGGCCGCATGGTCTCTCTCATCTCTGTGTCTTGCTCTGGTGTTGGAGTGGGGGCAGTGATTTTGATTTCCACAGGCAGTGACAGCAAGTCTGAGTCTGGAACTGCACTTTGCTGTGCTGCAAAGGCCAAGCCAACTTCTTCTTCCTCCTCCTGTTCCACCTTCTCCTCCTCCTTTTCTTTCTCCTCTTCTTCCTCCTCCTTCACCTTCTCCTCCTCTTTCTTCCCTGCCTTTTCCTCTTCCTTCTTCATGGCCTCATAGGCTGGCATCCGTCGCCTCACATGGAGTGCAGCTGAGGTGCTCACTGTCCCCAGCGGGTTGAAGATCACGCAGGTAACGGTGCCATCATGCTCTGGGAGCAGGGATGGGAAGGTCAGTGTAGACTGGCACTCTGTGGTGTGAACGGCAGTGCCCCGGATGCTCCCCACTGGCTTGGTGTTGTTGTACCAAGTGACAGTGGGCTGTGGACGGCCATGGAAGAGGCAGGAGAAGGTGCACCTGTGCCCCTCAACAGCCTCCTGGGGCTTGACCTCCTGGACAAATAGAGGTGGACAGGGCTCCAGGAACCCACCTGGCATCTGCCATCTCTCCCCTGCAGCCTTGGACCTGCGGTACCCCTTCACTACATGCACTGTGAGGGGCTCTGAGCCATCCATCGTGTCAGCCACCTCAGGTGGGCTGGACTTCCCAGGAGGGCCTTCCTGGGGCATGGACATGAGGGATTCCTGCTTCTTTTTCAGCACTGCCCTCTTTGCCTCCCGCAACCGCTGCAGCTTCCAACGGATCTCCTCATCTAGCAGCTCCTCAGCATCTGCCACTGTGCCACTGTGCTCCCTACCGCATGCTGGCCCAGGACGGTGAGGCCCCACCAGTGGCAGCCTCTGAAAACGGATGGTTCGTACCATGCCCCGGGCTGGGGAGAGGTCCCCAAACAACTGCTCGGCCTCCTTCCCCTTGTCAAAGGGCGAGCCAGTGCAGCGGAGCACCACTCGCAGCCGGTCCTCTCGCCGCTGCCGCAGCAGGCACTCCCAGCTCTCCTGCATCCACTCTGCTTTCCCCACAAAACCCAAGCCCTGCTGCTCCCTACTGCGTACCACCAGCAGCGAGGCAGTGGACTCAGCTGAGCCCTCACTGTTAATGGCAAATACCCTGTAGCTGCCAGCATCGTGCTCCCGCACATCCCGCACCTCCAGGCTGGCATGGTGTGTGTGCTCCTCACTCTCAGTGCGGATCACCTTGCGGCAGTCCTGGCGGAGTGGCCGGTTGTTGTGAAACCAGGCCATGTGAGGTGCCGGGCACGCCAGCAGCTTGCACTGGAAGAGTGCAGGGTTCCCCTCCAAGACAGACCTACACTTGAGGCCCTGCATGAAGGTGGGTTTACGGTTCTGGGTGCAAGCCAGCACCGCTGCTGTCTCAGGTCCCTCGAGGTTCACCTTGCTGTGCTGCTCTGTAAGAGAAGGAGACTGGGTTACCACATGTCACGCTCTGCCTGCCATCTGATTGAAAAAAATGAAATAGCAATATATTGAAATAAAAAATGGGCATGCAACAGATTCCATCACACACCCAGGAAAAAAAAAGTAATTCACTCACCATATTTGTTCGAATAAACGCAACGCCTTGCTCTGTTTTAAAGATTGACACGAAAATCGTTCGTTGTCTGTTCTTTCTTCAGACTGTGGAAATTTCTTCTTGAACAAGCAAAAATTAATTTCAAAACAACACGTTCTTCTGCGTGTATGTTTTTGCTGCCTGGAAAAGCTGTGTGTCTTTGGGTGGCAAAGAAGAAAATCTTACCTGACTTGCAGACAGTAGAATAAACGCCCTTTCTGACCCTTCTGCTTGTAGATTAAATGTTCAAACAATTGAGAAAAAATATTTTGAAAGATATTAAAAAAAAAGTAAGTAATTAGCTAACATGAAATGAGAAGGCGTTTATTCGAACTAATACAGCCACTAACTTCACAGTGTTATGCACAGGGAAAAAAAGCAAGCAACATGAACCACGTATGCTATCTGCAAGCCAGGGTAAGAGATGTATAATGATGAATTAATGTATGTAAAAAAAGTGCAAGGAATCAATGGGAATGTGTAACTTTCACATAACCTAAACAACAAATGCTTTCTAGTATACTTCATCCATCCATCCAACAGTGTCCATTGAACTGATTAATGTTAGGTTGCTAACTTGTTTAAAAATAATATGATTAAAATTTGTATAACTTCCTTCTGAAGTAAACTATTCCATGCATTCAAAAGGAAATTGAACAAATAAAAGCTCTGTGAACAGCTGCAAAGCATGAAGTAAAAGTTAAGAATATGCCTGCAAAATTATAAATTTGAAGTTTTAAACATATTTTAAAACTTAAATAACCTTATAATGCAGGTAACCCTTTGCATATCAAAACAAACATGCAACATGTTCCAATATGCTTTAAAGTGTGTCTTTCTTTCCTCATCAGACACTACAGGTAAGCAGATAAAAGCTTTTCACAATGGTACTAATTACTGGTACTAATTATTCAGTGTAACATCATTGGTGACTGTACCTTTCATTTCCATTTCAATCTCTTCCTCTAGCTTCTCATGAATAATTTTTTCAGGAGCTAGAATAAAAAGACAAAGATTTTTGAGCCATAGTTGCTAAATACGCCAATCAACACTTTTTGTAGGAAAAACATCCAATCCCTCTTGCAAATATACAGAACTTCACACATACATACACATAAATGCATGCCAAACAATTCAAACACCTGATAAATTTTGAGAACAGAGTAATCAAATGCTTTCAAACTTGTTTGCAATGTACACTTTTCTGTAAGATTTTCTTTCTGTTTTGCAGGGTGGGGGAAGTGTCTAATGTAACATGCCTTTATCATGCCTTAAATCCCTGAAGAAAACATTCAACAATCCACAGACTACTGAGATGCTTTTTGTTCTTTATCATCTCCCAGGGAATGAATGTACCAGAATGCAATGATTCTATGCATGAGGAACTGATATTTTGAAGGAACATGCAGTTGCCAACCTGTCACTCTCAGATGGGTGCTGCACTCGGCTTGTCCTGCAGGATTAACTATTCTGCACTTGTATATACCCTTGTGGTTCTGACCAACTTTCAACAATCTTAAACTGCACAGTGGCCCGTCATGTTTTAAGGAACACAAGGCAGACTCCTCAACTATTAGCTGATTGCACAGCCAGACTACGCAAGGCGTAGGCACACCCTTCATTATACAAAAGAGTAATACATCATCTCCTTCTTTTACAGTGGTTTCTGAAGGCAGAGTTTCAAGAAACTCTGGTGCTTTGGCATCAGTTTCCATGATGTCTTCACATGGCACAACATCAGGATAGTAGACTCTGTTTCTTTGCTTCTCGGTTTCATATGGTCTTTGGGATGTAGATATAAACAAGCTTGAGGTTTTCTTGGAAGATTCTTGCTTAACTTCAGATGCTTTAAACTGAAAATCTTTGGCTGCTTTAAAGCTTTTAGTATCTGATTCAAGGGTAATTTTTGTTACTGCTTTGGCTTGTCCTTCTTTTGCTAGGTAAGAATAAAGTTAGGAAAAGGATTAGGTCAGATGTTTTGCAGGAATAAAAAATATACTTAGGGGGAAAAAAAGCCCCAATAATTAGTATTGAAAGAATGCCCAACATATTAGTGCTACAGTAATATTATTAAACATAAGTGATTACACATTTAAGAGCTCTATTCCTGC